CAAACGAACTTTATGTTGGATAACATATTTGATATTCTGTACGGCAAAATAAAAACTATGGTCGAAATCCAGAAAATTGTTTGCTCCTGATCTTCAGATCGTCTCCGAAGTGCGCGAAGGATCGATTATTTTGATCTACGGCGTCGTTGAATTGGAAAGGCTGCAATCGCCGAATCCAAAGCGATGAGATGGCAAAAAATCAGAGGAAAAATTAATGATAAATTCCAATATGGTTTATAGATGTTTCTAAAGCGTTTTTCGAGATGATTGCGAGTATATGGTCCTTTTTCACGAAGTTCTCTGTGAAAGGAGTTTTTGTCTCCACGTTCTCCACTCTTTCGCCGAGCAGACTCCATCAAGAAAGGAAAACTCTGGTCATACACTAGAGATTTCTGTTAAAAATCGAAATATTCTTGGCTTACCATCTCAAAGGTGGGTTCATGGTCGACCTGCGGCATCAATCGCTAAGAAGAAGAACAATCGCCGAGTCAAAATCGGGGGGTCGGAGATAAAAAAATTAGAGAAAGCTTTCTAAGAGTTTTTCATAAAATCCTCATCACTGAGTTCCAGGAGGTGAATTCTAATGTGCGATCCCTTTTTATGGTGTTCTGTCTTTCAAGTGTGCGTGATAGTTCTGCGGCACCGATGAGTTAGAAAAAGCAACCATCGAATCTAAATCGAGGAATCGGTAAAAAAATCATTGACCATGGACCATTAGGAGAGTACAGAGAAAAACAACAGCGTCTAAATTGATGAAAAAAGTAACAGAGTGATGGTAGTTTTTGGTATGGTTCATGAACTTCTTGAAAATTTGTATGCTGATTTTGAATATAAAGTACTCTCTTCAATGAGCCCGTATGAAGGAAAAACCAGACTTCTCGTTCTCTATGGTCGCCTATTTGATGCCGTATTCGCGTGGATAAGTAAAAACGTGCCCTGCCCGAATCTCTCCCAAACCAAAAACGATATGAGTCAGCAGACGCCACTGCGATCGTCGCGCGCGGCACACATCACGGACGCAGCCCAGGATGAACGTCGCGTGCGGCGCCCTGGTTTTAAGTGTGGTGACCGCGATGGCGATCCTAATCCATACGAAACCGAATACGCTAGCCAAAAGGCAATATATTTTCATAGAGAACTGAATGTTTGGCGACTTCAAAAGTGATTTGGTCGCTTGTTAATGTTTTGTCTTTTTATTTCACATCATCAAAATGTGTGGATGAATTCTGTTGAACAAATTGCTGTCCTTTCAGCATGTACTCTCTCTATTCGACTCTGATTTAGAATCGAAAAGGGCACTAATGCACATTCGTTGGCTCACGTAATGACTTGCCGAGGCCGGCCGATGTGCAAACAATTGTTTTTCGCTTCTCAGACATGTTTCTGGTAATCAATTGACACTTATGAAGCACAAGGCTAGGTCAGTATAGGAACAACCCCATTTTCTGTAGGACATGCTGTACTTGGGTACACTGCTATAAAGAGAAAACAGTTGGAAACTTCCAGAAACCACATTTGCAGTGCCCATATCACAGTCGTTGGACAGCTCGGAAGGTTTGCCGCAAGCAGCAGCAATCAGGAAAAAAGTCAATTTAAACAAGCAGTTGATCAAATTGAACTTCCATCAGAGGCATGGCCAGGGATCAGGATCTCTACGGCTTTTATATCGAAGCAACTCCTACCGCAAAGAGTGGAATTTATAGCGCTACCACCCTGGTTTCCCATTATGTGACATCGAGCGCTTTTTATTTCTTGCGATGAGACCGGTGCCATTCTTCAGCTGTTCTTCTGCAATACTTCAATGTTATGTGGTTATTTCGAATCGATCCTCCCTGAAGATTGTTTTGGAGACTGGCAAACCAGTAGTCATAGCAGTTTTAAGCGGCGTACAACTAGTTAACCGAAATGAATTGCAATTAGCTATATTGTTCGTTCATCGGAAACTTCTCATGCCACACCTAGCGCAATGCAACCGCGCGCGTCAAACGCGGGTGCTATTCCAACAGGAATGAATCGTGATTTTTTAATTATGTGAAGCAGCCAAATAGCACCTCTTTTCGACTCCCAATTCGATCGTCATAAACAAAATTGATCATCATTTTTGGCTTGACGAACATTCCAAAGAGCGGCACAACAACTGAGTTGTCTTATGTTAGTCACATTGTGGAGGACTTAGCGGATCAGGGTTAGTAGAAACTCGTGAAATTCTGAATACTTCTAAAACTTTGCTCGAACTGGATTATAGATAGATCGGGTGGAAAATTATCTCCCTACTCGAATTCACAGGCCAAAGAGACTTTGTCGATGCGATTCGCCGCTAAGGCCGATTCGTTGATTCAAGGCCATTCGGCAGCACAATTTTAGCACCACTTTACTTACTACTACAACAAAATCAAGATGAATGACGACGAACTGTCTTAGCCTAAGCCTTTAAGGTCTCAGAAGTGTGAGAAGATATCCGACCCAAAGACGGCTTTTTTTCTAATCAAGAACTTCTCAGTCTACTTCAGTAACACTGTAGCCACCTCCTTCGCTCTATAGAACCATCGTTTTCTGGAAATGGTCAGAAAAATTCGACAGAAAGAATGTCATCAGCAAGGGGGCCACTCACTCGTCGCCGATCAATCGATACTGTGGTAGCTGCTAGTGTTAGAGAAGAACCAGAAATGATTTCAATTGTATTGCTTTGTAAATGTCAGTTATTTCGACGGAATATCATGGAACTAATGGATGCCAGCAGTTTCCAATGATCACGGTGGCTCCCATAACACCTGTCAATGCGACCCACGTCATGTCATTGCAATGCGATTTGATTCGTAGCGTATCAGGCCGACGGGCAATCGGAAGCGGACAAACTGCTCAGCTGGCACTTTGATAATTCCAAAATTTTTGGCCCCACGAGGCTGTGCCAGGTTCTTGCTCAACACCTGATTGGGAGGACTTGTTAAAAGACTCATTTCAATCGAAGGATGGAGTTGAGAGTGCAGTTAGTCCAGCATAGTAAACAGGAACAAGCACAAATGTGTTATGTGGAGCTTCACTGACATACGTGGCTTTTCAGCCTAAATATTGTCCAGAGCCCTACCTATTCTACTCGAAGTTTCGAGTTGAGATTTTTTTCGGTTGGTCAGTTCCATTTTGAAGCCACGCCCACGATTCGACTTTTATTTAGTAGTGGTGGCATATAGGATACCAATTTGTCTATACAATGTCTCGTGGAATCAGCTAATTGCATCTTTCATCCTTGCAATCATCTTAATATGATTTTGTAAGCACTGATACGGTAAATGATAATGTTAGGATTCGATCACTTGGTCATACTTTTGGTAGCAGCGCCATTTGGCACTACCTCACCTTCACTTCTTCATCAATTCAGTGTTCGTCTTGATTCAACTGTCAACTAATCAGGCTGTCGTTTCAGTTTCTTTTCATTTATGTCTCTCCTTTGTATTTTATTTCACCTTGAAAGTGTTATATCCCCCTGTTCCGACTACCCTCAGTCACGAATGACCTTGTTCCAACAATTGGCAAGATGTTATTTCCGGTTACATATGTAGGCATTGTCGTTTAACCAAAAACTGGCCGATTAAGCAGAAATCAACCTCACTGCTACCTTCCTTAGAGAAAACAAATTATGGATACTGCCATCGAGAGATTTCGCGTTGGCTATACCCCATTTTTCACTTCTCATTTTTTGATTACTTTGGAACAAACAAAGTCTATCAGCCAGTCAGAGTCTACCAAATTCCTAGAACTAGGGTATACTCCAGTTCAACAGGGCCGCATAAAACTGAACCATACCTATCTATGAGAAGTTTTTCGCGATTGTTTCTGTCTGTTGTGATGGAAAAGTTATAGAGAGCTTGTGAAAAAAAGTTCTTTTTCTCTGAGCCGTCCCAATATGCTAAGGCCATTTCAGAAAAAACGAGACCTATAACCAAGCTTCCTGTATACCTACAACATCTTGTGCTGTATTATGTGGGCACCCTAATTGCCTTGTTCGGGTGTTTCTGTCATATCTAAATGAAATAGCTCCTTATTCGTTGGGGAGCACTAATTAGTGCTACTCGTTTGGCCTCCCTGAAAATGGCATTTGCTCATGCTTTCGTCCAAAGCTGATATTTGTCCGCCTTCTGGGTACGCGCGAGCATTTTTTAATTTAATTTTAATAATTCGGTGATGTCTTTCCAATTAAAAACAACTGATTTAGCCGAAAGCTATTGGACAACAACACGTATCCGCTCAATGACGGCGTACTCAACTAACTTTGATTTGTGTCCCAATAAAAATTGTTGTTGAATGACTGATGGAATGTCCAGTTCCCATTGTCTGTCTTTTAAACAGCATTTGCAGCTATTCCTAGCACTTCATTGATTTTTGAGATCGTTTCGTTTTGAATGCAACATATTCGACTATGAGTCGTTCGATTCTCGTTTTCACGTAAATAAATATATTTCTAATAATTTGCAGACAGTAATAAAGCTCTTAGTCCCTCCATGTCCCTCTTATGAGCAGCGAATTCACACTTTGCTCAATGCATACGATAGATGGCTCTTTGATCGTTGATCACTCGGTGAAATGTTGACCGAAGCGGGTCCTCGCCAGGCAAGAGGCGAGGCGCTCTTGTCAGGGTGACGGACGCAGCCTGGGCAATAAACCACCCGGCGAGGCGTTCCTGGGTCAACGTGCGTCTCGTCCCTCTGTCGGTCAGCCCAAAACAAATTAGACCAATAGTCCATCTGTTTCTCTCATTCTAACAGCACAATGACAGCAAAAAGTATACCAGCACATTAGGCCAGCCAGAAATTACAATTCTTTACAAAGATTTCCAAAGCCTATAAGGAAGTATACGAGTTTATCCTTACTAAGACTCGGACACAAATATGTCAAAAAATTCACAAGATGAATCCATTGGTACAGCCATAACAGTTCATAATCAAAAAATATATATAGAACATGAAAAACAATAATAATAATAATAAAAAGAAAAAACATGAGAGTCAAACAAGGGTCGGCCGGGGGTGATCAGATGTTTGTTGATGTTGATGTTGTAGAGTGCAGCGTGGTCGGTCGACTGAGGAACAATGTTGGTGGATTCGGGACCACCGGACAAGACCCGCCCTGAAGGAGTGTGGTGTGTTGTGTGTGTTGAAGGAGAGCGGCGTGGCGTAGTATGAGTTCGGGCAGCGAATCTGGTCGTGCTCTGCTTCAGTCGCTTTCCTCGCCACCTTCGGCGTCGTCACCGTCTTCTTCTTCTCCCGAATCACCCTCATCGTCATCGCCTTCACCTGAACACAATCATATCATAGTTCAATATGAGATATGGGAAAGGCGCCAAGCACACCTTCTGAGCCATCACCTCCTTCTGAGGACTCATCGTGCACCTCCTCATCATCTACGTCCTCATCATCATCCTCGTCTTCACCATCGACCTGTTCGATTTCTGCAAGGAAAAGCTTTCAGGTGTTTATAGGGAATGTAGGGGCACTTTGAATGGCATCCCCAACAATTCCTTCTCATCGCGTCTCTTTCCATACGCCTAGTCATCGCGCTACATTGCTGTCTCCCGGGCTTTTCAATCGACTAAAGTCCTACCCCACTACTACTCGATGTCTTCTGGATTCCCAAGGGATTCAGAAGGATATCGGCTATTGACATGAAAAGATCGATTGTAGATCGATTATGACTGCGACTCCCTGTGTGGCGCAGCGGCTGTTATCGGCGCGTTCATTTGTCGCGCTCTGCGTCCACCACGGCGCTGGTCGCGCCCGGCGTCTCGCCGCGTCCTATACCCCTGCGCCGCTCGGCTCTCCCGTCGGGCGCTCAGCCCTCGCTCGGCGCGTCGTCTTCGTAATGAACGCAAAATGCTGCTCCAGCCAGGCCAATACTTGCAGCGTAGCGATCCAAAGCATTACAAAAAGAACAAAGTTATACTCACCCTTGGCGGCCTTCTGCTTGATCACGACAACGTCATCCTGAAAGCAAATGGCATTAACTTCGTGAATGCCTTCAAACCCCACTATTCTGCTTAGTCATTTCCTAATGGACCCACTCAACGACTGCGTTCTACAGAGAGATTCGCAATGAGCGGCGGTCGCCTAGGAGATGTGAGAGCGTATTGGCAGCGATTCGCCTTGGCTAACGGCCAGTTGGCATCCTGTCATCTCTCATCTCTACGTCTCTCGCCGACGCTGTCTGCCTGACTCACCTCCGTCTTTCCATTCTCGAGTCGGGGTTCCTTGACAGCGACCTCGTTGTCGTCCTCCTTATCGTTCAGGGGCCTCTTCTCAGCGGGTTTTCTCTCCTCAACGGCGCTCATTGTGTTGCTTTAAATAGTGCGGAGTACGTACAGATGGACTGCAAAAGCACAACCAGTAAAAAAAANAAAAAAAACCACGACGAGGCAACAAATGTGGCACGAATACGGTGAGGAAGCGACGCAGTCGACGGCTGACACGCCAGCGCGCGAAATTCGAACGCTCGATGACGCGCTATCGGGGCCGCCTTGGCTAGCGGAGGCCAACGTATGAGGCTGACAGCGGACAAGAAGAGAGAATGAGAGTGTGGAATAGCAATCATCACGCAAAGAACAGTTAGTTCGACGCCGGCAATGTAACGATTCTTCACAGGACGTCGAGCTAGCGAAAGACAGCGGACATGAACTAAACATCCAAACCGACTATGTGGGAGGTATGCAGCTGATCTTGGACATAGAATCTGGTTCGTAGTGAAAGCTTCGAGGGGCAGAACTAGGGAGGTTGGCGTGCTCCCCGTTTCGGCGCTGGGGGCGGAACCACAGGATTACTCTGCGTCCATGGCGTAGACTCTGGCTCTCGGGCGCTCTCACCCTGTGTTGGCTGGCCGCCTCTGCTGCATCAATGCAGCACACATCATGAAGAAAATCGAGGGAGAGGCTGAATCAGATGGCTCAGAGGGGAGATGTCGAAGACGATGAGGGTAGAGACGAGGCAAGTGGGTGACAGAGATGGAACTGAACTTGGTGGTCCCGACTTGGCTCGCTGCCGAAAGGGCAACGCCCACGTCACCTTCTCAGCAGCTTGGACACTAGCCAAGGGCGGAGCTTCGCGAGTGGACAAGAAATGTGGCGAGTTGCCGACGACGGATGTTGCACAAACGAGAGTATGAGGAAATGCCATTCTCAGGGGGGCCTGTACGAGAAGCGCCAATTACTGGTGTCCGTGGAATAAGGAGCTATATCATTTAGATATGGCAGAACCACCCATCATGCTTGCATACTACTGAATCCACATTGCGGCCAAAAAATACAAGACCTATAGTCCAGTGATCCACCACGATAAACAGATGATAAACGAGATCAGATGGCGGATTGCCAGGTGTTACGAACGCACACACAGACTTACGTAATGGCGCGCAGAAGCGTTGCGATGCGGGTCGGTCGGCCGGTCGGCTCCGCCCTTCGCGTCGTCGTAGTCCCGCCAAAAAACTTCGATGGGGTGGTCCCAGCGTCCCTCAGAGTCGGACTCTTCCCATTTGCGGCGCTGTCCAATGGCACTTAGCAACACCTCGGCAGTGCCCTTAAGCGTGACCCCCAAACAATTTCCCTCAGCCTCTCCCTCAGCAGCAGCAGCAGCTCTCATTGATCCTGTCTGATTCACAATGCACGCAGTAATTGAGAGTATGACGATCGCCGCTGCGTCTGAAATTCTAGTAAAGAGTGCTACGGCCTAGTGTGTGTGCGATGTTTGCTCAGGGTGAATGAAGCCCCGGACTCTCGAAAACCATTGTAGTCTAAGCTACTGAATCATCCCGTTAGTCTGGAGTGCGTGTAAAGTGCACTGCGCAAGTTCGTCCCGCAGACAACGTCTGGGATTTGTGGCGCTTCCCTTCTCCCTACAAATGAACTGCTGCAACGCGTGCTCTGAAGTGCACCTGGCAGTTCAACCGGTTTTTGTCAACTCAACTTCAACTCAGAATTTTAAGTACCTTTGGGGGCTCGAGAACCATCCATAAACTGTTTCTCTAGTCCAGTTAGATTCCTTAGAAAACGAAAAGGGTTATTCTCATACTCGCATCACACAACTACTTACCGCAGTCTCTAGCTTTACTGAAGAAATCTGTAGTCAGGAAAAGACTTCCTCTACTCAGTTATTATATTGTTGTAGTTTTTCGAGTTCATTATGGTGACTCCACACTCAGCGTCACTAGAGCATAGGTAGATCTGCCAAATGGATTGCATGCGTATCGATTTCCTTTTTCTTTCCCCAGCCTTCGCTTCTTATGATAGTTCTCAATGGGAAGCAGCGCGTGCATTTTGCCATGCATTTCCCCAAGTGCTTCGATTCTCTCGGAATGCAAGCAGACGAGATCTAATCCTCGTAGAAGATTCTCCGATTCTTTGGCGGCGCAAAATCAAAAGTGTGCTATTCGAATGGTGATTTAATCACGTACAAAGGCCGTCAAGCTGGGTAGAGGGAAACTCGAACTTATAATTGCACAGCGAAAGCGTCTAGACTCTTTTTCAATTCTTTGAAAGGAAAAGAGGTAGACATTCACAAGAAATCTGCCGCGCGTTACGTAAAGCAACGCGCACGCGGTAGTGTACGATTTTTTTGCCCGTCTCTAAGGCCGCCGCCCGACTTTGCAAACGGGAAAGAACACGTTTTCACACGAATGCAATAAGCTGCACCGAAGCGAATTGCTATGAGGAAATAAAGTCTCTTTGAAATGACTAATAGCTATTAGACGCATGCTGTTGTCGAACGCAATGATACTTGCGATTTTCCATTTAAAAGTCTACGCACAAATTATAAACAAACAATAGATAAACAGCAAAATAAAGCGGAAAGTTATGGGTATCACCTGTGAAATTTGGGCTTCAAGGGAGTTCATGAGTCCACGTCCCTTTACTGATTAAGAGACGTTGGTTCTGGCATGGTTTTCGCCGGTGATGGGAATGACTCGTAACACTTGCAACCTTGACGTGTTTCGGCCTGAATTCGACAGGTTCAATTCGATACAACTTGTCAGTACGCGTACGAACTAGTTAATCCAGGCGAATTTCGGAGAGAATGAGGAAGAAAACAATTGCAAACGAGTTACAACACGTGTCACACATGAAATTGGGTCCTGTCCCGGATAACGAGTCAGGGAACAGGACAAACCTTGGAATGAGTCGACTTCATCAGGGACTTCCCTATGGGGTAGATGTTGGGGTAAACTGCAGCGTATGTTTGCACAACAATATAAGAAAATAAGAGAAATCTGTAAAAAAATAAAATATCCGCTTCCTGAAGGGATATTCTCTTTTCAAATCTGATATTCACTTCTTTACCGTCTCGTTTCTGCTGGGAAGTAGCGACTTTACTGAAGTAATTGCATGTCACTTCTCGTTATGTGTCTTCCACGAACGCTCATTAGTTCGCCTAAGCAGTAATCACGAATCAAGTTATATTTCCTGTCGACCAAGAGTGGAATCATTTACGTGGAAATCGAGCGTAAGGTGATGTTTACAGTTCTACAAATCGGAGATTTCAGCAAGCTGCCAGAAGGGTAGGATAGTTATTGATCGATTCGCTTTGCCATCCGCGTGTGGTTTAGGAAAACCGGAGAATTGCTGAGGGCATGCACGCCTTTCTCGACGCTGAAATGCAATATGGGAAGCTGACATGGAAAGAAGACGATCAATATGCATCTTATGTCCATGTTGGTCAGCTTCCAATTCTTTATTTGCTGAACTTAGCTATTTTCCATTATTGTCTCCCTGTTAAGCGGCCCGGAGCCTTAGAGATCAGTCAGCCTCAACGCTACCCATTCTGACGATCCTACCTTTCTAGCGACATCAGACTTGAAGTGACGCCATTCTAATCTTCTTACACCAATTATGAAGAATGCTTTATCGATTAGGAAATATGTGCAACAACAAAATTTTGAGTTCCTCTTCAGCTCTTCTGTTCATTTTCATATTTACCCTCTCTTTGAGTAAATCATTTGAGAAATATCCCCATCTGATTACTAGTATTGGAGATATAGTTAGCGTTAATCAATTTCTCCATGTTGTTAGCCATGCAGCCAGCTTTCAATGGCAGTTGAAGTAGCCTTTGAATGCCCTAGATAATGGAGATATGGAGTGCCCGTCAAGTCAATGCTTTCGCAGAATCTGGCATGCACTAAGCGTCAGATTTGGCTTGGAGATCTGAATCAGGGATTCGCAGGCATAAATGGACCTAAAGACTCTATCTGAAAGGTTGAAAAGGGTAATATCGGTTTAGTATTATTGATTTATTTTCACAACACGGCATAAATGAAAGTGGTGGGGTTTGCTGCAGGTGTAGATCGATTTGGGGCATCGAAACTCGATGTTCTTAGCATTGCATTCTCAACAATTCGGTAAGCAGCGATCCTTGGTGTTCCCTGATGATACGGTAACATCATTCGGCCTCACAAAGCAGATTTTTATAATGAAACAAACCACCGCGAGAAATATTTCAAACCAAAATGTTGCCTTACAATGACCTTGCCTACAAGAACGGCTTCTATCCAGGGATTTTTATGATTTTTATAAAACAGCTATAAATCTTCTCAGTATTTTACACGATTATATCGTGATGTCAATAAACGTTCGTAAATATGCCGAAGTATGACGCATTTCCTGCTAAGCTAATGGACTTACGTACGGGTCTAGAAAAGTAAGTAGATCGGTTTTAAGGCATTTTATAGACATTAGATTTTTAATTCTTTCGGTTAATGTGAGCTTCGGTGTTTTCGGGATCGATGCCCAACAAAACATTTAAGTTTAAAGCGAGTGTTTCCCTCAAGCCAATGCATCCTCTATCCATGCCCCATAGCTCTACCGATTCCAGATTTCTAAAGTAACTGCACCACTCAAGGAGAGCGACTACCAAGGACGCATTCAAACGCGTACATAATTTAAATTCATGTCAAATGTGCGGCGTGCTGGGTATGTCAGCTATAATTGCATTGTCATATATTCCTCAGCAGTCGCTCTGCTACATAATGACAGCAGCAAACAAGTAATTAAGAGACTGAAGTAATTCGATATGTGAAAGCTTGTTGCTTCTATGTTTAACCAGGATAAAGATCCATACCTCATTATATTAGTTATGGTTCCTTTGCATAATTAACAGTCTCAAATCCACTTAAATGAAAGCCAAGCAGCAAGCGGTAAGCTATTTGAACTGAGAAATCTGATCGTCTCAAGTGTAGGGCAGATAGCTTAGCGGTACGAATGTGAAAGCTCAAAGAACAGCGACAATGGTTCTTTTCTGAAGGCAGTGTGGTCTTCTTCACACCACGCCCTTGCACTTTCCCCCCATGACGTGAGAATAGTTGTGATATTATGAGCATGCAGATGAACGACAGGGACAAGCTTTCTCAGACCGAGGGTTCCTGCTGAACAACTGGAACTGCACGGCTCAAACTGCGTCGACTGCGACTTGGAAAGAAAGCTTTGGAAAAGGAAGTCTATTTACCTTCTCTAGCCCTCCTCTCTTTCATCGAGGTCACCTGAATGAACTCACGTCGTTAGGTTCTCACAACGAATACTGGCTCCATTCGTTCGGTAGAATAAGGCTGATACAGTATTCATGAGTTAAATACAGGCAACAAAGGGAGGAAATTTATGTTTATTGATCCAGTCACGTCTCCTCAGACATCTTTTAGACGTTGGCGGCATCGTCCCAGAAAATGGTTGACGGCTATCCTGACATGCAGATGGCCAATTTAGCCCTGGATGTGGCCTCTCTGCAGAGAACATGGGAAGGTCTGGTGAACAGAGTTTGATTCACTGATGAAAAATTCCTTTTGAAATATTGTTCCGACAAATCAGTCATTTTTATGCCAAAGAGGGTTTACAAAATGTCTTTCGAACAAGTGCTTGTACGTTCCACGAAACATTGTAGCAACATCCCAAAGACGTACCGCTCCTTGGTCATTTTCACGATAGACGACGTCAGCCTCAAAAAATTAACGGTATCGAGCTCCACTGCTGAGGAAGAAAAGGTGTTTTGTTCTTGAAAAACGCTGATTTCTTTAGATAGACGAAGTCAGTATTTCGACGCAGTGACGGTTTTCCCTCTTGAAGAACGGCAAAATTTGTGGATAAAGAGAATTATGAACCTTGAAGAATTCCTTCTTCCTCTCGATATTGACGACATCGGAGAAGCACCAAGGGAGTGACAGCTTTCTCCCTAACGCAGGGCCGACTTATGACGGCTCATGCCGAATTCATGGGCTTTCTTCGAGTTCTAGCTTGCTAATGCCAGGATGCCTCAGCGTGCAGGTAAAGCGTTGCACTGCAGGGGGGACGGTATATTCGTCAATTCGGATTGCGCGCGGCAAACTGCGCGGCGAAATTCATAACGATTTTGGCTACTTTAGCGCCCATTGTTGGGGCCCAAATCCCAAGTAGAGTAGGTTAGTAGTGTCAGCTGACTCTAGTTAACTATTCTATTTCAAGTTTGTACTCCAATAATAGGTCCCAGAGCCGTTCGAATCGCCACGAACTTCGCCGCGCAGTTTGCCGCGCGCAGTTGGAATCGCACGAATGTACACACACCCCACTGCAGGTATGCAGTTACAACGTCAAGAACCACTCGGGGCGTGTACTAGCCAATTCATTAGGCCTAACATTCCCTCCCCTCTCTAATCACATGAAGGATGCCAGCTCCCCAGAGAAAAGGAAAGAACAGAAAGCGCAGGAGTTCGTTGGTTGAGCCTTCCACCTATCCTACTATATGTAATCCGCTGCGTGTAGTGTGTGCACACGTGTGTATGTGTATGTGCATGTCTGTATGTATGTGTAAATGCGTGTGTGTAAATGTGTCTGACGGGAAATTCGCTATTAACAACGGAGGATAATACTGATAAGAATTGTTAAATGGCCTTGAAAGGTAAAAGCCGGAGGGTCGGTTATCGTCTTCGTATTGACGTTGGAGCCTTGGCACTTTGATAGGTGATGTGTGATGTGTTGTGATCGCAGGTACTCGGTAGCGGGAACTGATAACAGTTGATAACGGCTCATAACGAGCTGTAGAAAGCGAAAGGCTACGATCTTCGGATTAACACAGGCACTGCCTTTGACGGGATCGAGGACGGTTAGTGCCAGAAACTGATAATAACTGATAAGAGCTAATAATAAATCACATAAGGGGAAAGCCACTAGAATAACTGCATTAGTAGTGGAGCACTGACAGTTGGCATGTGAGTTGGAGTATCTTGGATCTTGGATGGCCCATGAGAGGAACGGAGAGAACAGTTGACGAGAGCTGATCAAGGCCTTAGCAAGAAACACTTACTAACTATATCCTAACACCTTTACGATCTAGCTATGACTCTCTGATATGTTTCATTCCATATAGGAAGGGTAAGTGCAGGGATAGGGATCCATAAGTGCACTTCCTTATTAGGAGATGGAAATGTCGCTCATTTCCTGCTTTTAGATTGCGACCGTTAACCAGTAAAGTTTGTGACTCAGTAAAAGGGTTACGATTCTTCTTTGCTTCGGTTTGATTCGCGACAAAGCTTGAACAATCGCCAACCATCTGAGGTCTTCAACCAATGATACATCCGAATAGAAAATAACATCATCGATAAAGACTTGTACATTCAATTCTACCCTATTTCAAAATTTTGAAAGAGAATCAAATGAGTGTCGCGTCACGGCACCGGATGAAGGTCGCTAACAAAGGTCCGGCACTTCATGGCCTACTCCATACTATTAGAGAGTACATTTCAGAGGAAGAATGTATGCCATCCGAGATGAAATCGTTTTTTATCATATCCGCAAAGTATTCAATCATGGCCCCTCTCTTGTTCCGAAACATTCAATTGGAATTAAGAATTTCCAAACTGGTAAACCGTCAAACGAACTCCATATTTGGAATAAGTATCCGTTGCTGTATTTAATCATATACAAATTATGGTCGAAATTCTAAAAATGGTTTGCCCTTGATCTTCAGATCGTCTCGGATGTGCGCGCCGGATCAATTGTGTTTTGATCTGATGCATCGATGGGTTGGAAAAACGGTGATAGCCAAAGCCAAAGCGAGTGTTGGCAAAAAAATCGGCGAAAAAAAATTATGAGAGATTTTTCTGAATTTTTACATATCTTAGTAGCGTTTTTCACGCTGGGTTCAAATATGCATCCCTCTTCCCATAATATTCTGTATGAAAGGAGATATTCGCTTCCTCTCTCCGAAACTGCTTAGTCTAAATGTGTCTGATCCCAACGGAACTTTTTTCAATTTAATACGACTAGGAAAAATGGTTCGGAAACATTTTATTGCTCCTGAGGAGAGCGCTGCATATCTCTATGTAGAGTTAACGGGATTCCCAAGCTCCGGCAATCAGAGCCCAGGGAACTATGGATGAAAGTTTCAGCAAGGGAGACCAGCGAAATATGATCATCTCAATCTGGGTAGGGGCCAGAACTGACATCTATCAATTGCATCTGTTTAGAGCATCAAAGTCGACGATTTAGGCGTATCTCATACAATAAGTATCTAGCGAGGTAACACTAGAAGAGCTCATTGTGGCGACAGGTGGGCTGAAGTGTGAACGGTGTACCTGAGGGAGAATCTAGGGCACAATGGATCAACAAACGTAGTGAAAAGCTCTTGTGGGCTATCGGACCGCTGCTAATCTATGAGTAACCAAGTGGTCGATAGAATTACCAGGACGTAACTACCCGGGACCTAATCTAATCGCTGGATGGTTATGCCTTTTCTGTACCTCATAAGCCCTTTAGCTTTTATTAGCCCTGGAATCTTAACAAACTTCCTTGCGATACCAACTAACCGACTTTGGGGAAGAAACGTGTGGCTGGCTATCCGAGACCCGAGCCCGGAATGAAGCCCTTGTTAGAACTTGGCCTGACAGTGCTCTGCCTATGCCAACGAAAAAATTACCGACTTAGATTAAGCAGTCAGTGTACAATGTAACCGAGTGGGAAACTTCGCTATGAGTTCCACACTCAAACGGCACCCTTGTAACACGGAAGGCCTATTATTGGGAAAAATCCTTCGATTTCAAATCTTTGCTTTTATACCCCTAATTCTTGTGGGGGAGGAGGTGTAGTGACAGGTAGCACACTATCTCAC